GGGGGGGGGAGTGACACCCTTATGCGGGCCGTCGCATGTCGCATGAAACGTACAGTGCTCTACGAGTGAGCACTGCTTTGAGCTCCTCCACTAGCTGGAACGCAGGGGATGGGCCGACTGAGGCCTGACTGCGTGACCCGAGTTATGGGTGGCTCCAGTTCGCTATGAACAAGCAGTCGTTATAACCCTTTTTGAAGAAGAAGAAGGTGGGGGCAGGCGATGGGTGGCTGCCGCTCCGCTGGTTCCCTATCTCAAAATCCAACGTTATGGCTATTTCTTGAGTCTCTTGGTAATTTGAAAAAGATGGAGAGTGATTCGAGGAGTGACACACACACACAATTAGTTGTCACAACTAATAAATCATGTAACTTTGGGATAGACAAGAAATTCGGTGTGGCAGCTAACAGTTAGTTGCCAAAGCGAAGCTGCCTTGTAGCACCAAACATTCAGACAACGTTCTGAGAACGTTCTTTTGGTTCTCTGAAGGTTACTTAACGTTCTAAGAACGATATGTGCTACAAGGGCTGTCGCTGCAGGAGTCAAATAGTTCGTTCTGACAGCGAAACATCTAATTAGTTAGAACGAACCGATTGACTCCTGCAGCGACAGCTTCGCTATGGCCACTAACACATGTCTGTGGCAACCAACTATTCTCTGCCACAGTAAATCTGGGATTTTCTATCCCAAAAATTAGTTAATTAGTTAGTTGTGAGGACTAGTTCTTTTTTCAACAAATTTGTTCATACTAGCGTACGTATTTAAAAAATGCGTAAGCGGAGCACGTAATTACACATAACTCAGTAAGCTATGAATAAAAATGTTCATAAGCTTTTAGTGTGTACTCCCCTGCCATCCACTGCTGTTACCAAACTGACATGTTTGGGTGAATTTATAAAAGTGGAGTGAAGGGGGCTGGGGTGGAGTTGGGGCGCTAGCAGAAGCTCACGGCGCGGAAGATTGGGTGGTAAAAGTTGTGTGATAATGTGAGAGTTTTGCAAGTTTTGAGACGCGACGTTCTTGAAATTGCGGCAGCAAATAAAGCACTGGATGAGCTGGCTCCCGCCTGGCTCCTGTTGCCTGCCTGTCTGGCGACGACCGAGGCCTGATGCGCATCCTCCTCGACAACTTTTCGTCGGCCTTAATTTTTTCGCCGTCGCGTTGCAGCTGCTGGAGCTGCCTGCTGAAAGCCGAATAAAAGACAGAGAAAGTCATAAAAAAAAACTTCCGGCTGCTCGACTGTTACATGCATAATCGTTTATTATTTGCGGCTGTAAACCCTGCGGATCTTAACAGGTCAGCAGGTGGCTGGATTTTGTCGCACCTTATCCCCTCGAGTAGCGTCTATTCACTTATTTGCTGAAACGAGCCGCACGAATTAAGCTACAGCTACAACAGGTAGTGGTAGGTATTCCGTACACCCAGCTATAGCGACCATCGTATGGTTAATCCAGGGAGCAGCAAAAAATATGGTTGATGCGACGTGGTTGTGAGAACCATAAAATTATTATGGTTTCCATCACATTGACATTGTTAGCTCAACCATATTTTATGGTTGCTCCATGAGCCAACCATCTTATAGTTGTCTTCGGTAATCATTTTTCTGGTTGTAATTAGGTTGGTCGCGGCGCACAAAAACGTTTTCGTTCTTCACTCAGAAGTTTGCACCTTTACGAGGAAAATTGATGTAGCCATGTAAATTAAAATCAAAGATCTCCCTGAGTCAATCATACACACGGGTAAATTAACCGGTAGTGGAGTACTTGTGGGGGTAAATTAAGTCTGGGCGGGTCCATCACTCGTGGGTCAGTATTCTCGGAACAAGTAGTGACAAGGGGTAGTGCAGGAAGGAAAGGCACAAAATGCCGGCCTTCACTCTACCCACCTTCTGTGTGACTACAATGTCTTTTACGACCTGCGTGCGTGCGCGAGCGAGTGCTTTGAGCCAAACGCCCCTCTGCGAGACTGCGCGGGCGCGGGCCGGCCCAACACCCTTTACGCCCGCATGATACTCGTCTTTGCGGTGGGCTGGGCTGGGCTGGGCGCGCGAACGGGACATGCGGGCGAAGAGTATCAGTGCGTGGCGTGGGATGACGTAGCGAGCAGACTCTGTTGTAAATAAACCCTGTTGCCGAATTTAGTTAGTTGTAGAAACCCTAATTGATTTTTTACTCGTTCTTTACCATCCCACTCCACCTTCGTGGTGGTAGGAAGAACGAGTATTGTTCTCAGTGCGGTGTCACGCTTTTCCAGGGGCGTAGGAGCCTATGGGGCCGGGGGGTCCATGGCCCCCCCAATTTTCAGGGTTGGGGGGGCCGGCCCCCCCAACTTTTGGGCCGGTACAGTTACGAAATTTAACCCTTAAACCACAGAGCAGGAGCGCTTGCTAAGGTGCCGACACAGCACCTCACACGCTAGTTTTTTTGTTTAATACACACTTTATAGTAATTTTAAGTTACTAGTTCCTATTGTTTTTTTATTTAATTGATAAATAAATCATTATTTATGCATTGAACATCATAGAAGTGTTTCTTTTTTACACTTATGTATTGTATACGCAAAATAAAATAATACATGCTATTTTATCCCAGCGGACTGGGAAAACCACCCCTGCAAGGTAGGCAACCCACATGGCGTGCCCCCCCAATATTCAGGACCTTCCTACGCCCCTGCGCTTTTCCTGTTCCTGTTTTCATCTCAGAACACACAACACCTACAGACATGACAATAGTACCACTGTAGAGCGGGGACGCTGATCTCAATTAAAGCAATGAACCTTTTTTCAGGTTTAATAGCATAATTTTGAGCACTCTTAACAAATTTTGCGTGTTTTCATTCTAAGTCCCAGACCAGAGCTTGTTTGAGCATGTTGAAAAACGTAGTGTTAAGCAACGAAAATGTATCATGCATGCATCTTTGAACTTATAAGATGTTAATGAAACTGTTTTATTAATATGTTTTGAGTCGCTACCGAAGCATTTTAACGAGTTTACTTAATAGATTCCTCCTAAAAAATTGCAAGTCCCGTGACGGTGGAGGAGTACGTGAGGTTATGGCGGCGCCATCCGTGCTGCCACCTGTGGACGGACATAGTAACTACTTCACAGTGAGCGCGCGGGCGTTTAAAATGTACCTTTTGTCGTCACACACTTCTCCCCAATTACTCTGAGATAAAAGCACGAACTGATTTTGAAGAACTACCCTGGTTTGGTTAAAGAACGAGTTTCCTACTTAGCACAAAATTTATTTTGTGTTTATAGTTTCCCTTGTTTCAATTTCCTTGGCCATATGCTAAGGCCGGCCACGGCAGCTTTAGATTGGTTCGATGGTTGGAGCACCTGAGTCCAAGGAAGGTGAAGGTAAATAAAGTTATGTGATATCTATAGAGTTGCTGTTGTAATGTGTGCAGGGAAAGGGGAGAAAAAAAAATGAGTATTGTTCCAATAAATTTACGAAATTACTGTTTTGTACAGATATTATTGCTACTTTGTCGTCCACAATAAATCATGCTATAATCAGTGCACTGATTTTCAAAAATAGTGATTAGCATGACGAAAACAATGTAGACTTTACCCAAGCTCAGTGAATAAACAGAAAACTACCATGAGCACATGCGATAACGGAAAGAATACCGGTAAAAAGTGATATTAAATAGACGATCCATCAATACATTCCTACACCGTTTTAAAGTAAAGGAACAATTTTGAACCTTAGACAGCAACGTTTCTGTGCTCCACAACAGATCCAGTTTTGTTCCTAAACCTAGAAATCGTGTATAGTTTTACATTGAGTACGTACCTTGACTTGACTAACGGCGAGGCCACTATTGGCCCAAGGTATTTCGTCCGAACAGAGCCGTCCAATTACTAGGCCCTTCCCCGTGCGAGACTAAAGAGACTATTGCGAGACCCGTATCACC